GAGGGACGCGGGATGTAAAAACAACAGGACGCGAAACAAACAACGGAGGGGAGAGGGCGTCACGGGGCGCAACTAACTTTAGGTATTTTCTTCTCCTCATCGATTTCGTTCTGGTCTGGAACACAGCAAACGTACGGCGGTACGTGCAGCCTCCGCGTCGCAGGGTGCAATCAGCACTACTACTGATGCTGCCGTGTGTGATGTAGCAATACTGCGTTCTCTCGCGGGTAAACATCGAAGCACAAATTCAACAGCGATTGCTGCGGCAAGACACACGAAGAGCACACACCAACAGCGAAGCCAATTGCGCCGGCGTTCACCCCCCCCCCCCCCCCTTTTCACCTTGACCCTAGGCCACTCCACCCCATCGGTCGTTCCCGCTGGCGAAGGAGGAACCTCCCCCACCCGCACAGCAGCGGCATCATCGCCCTCCTCTCCCGCCTTGGCGGTGGTGCTGCTGTGGTTGTCTCGCGCCGACCGCCTCAGAATCCCGTCCGCCCTGAACCCCGCGGGGGCCCCGCAGGGGCTCGCAGGAGGGGGCCCCGCGGGTTGCGGCGGGGGGAGGAATCGTGGTGGTGACGGCGGCGGAGAGGCGGATCTCGACGACAGAGGCGTGGTCGGGGAGTTGTAAGACGTGGGGCCGCGTAGAAACCCGGGACCCATCGTGTCTTCGTCGTCATCGTCCTCCTGTTTCGCGTTGTAGGCGTTGAAGAAAGAAGGGCGGTTGGTGGCGTTGCTGCTACAGAATGTCGGCGGCGTGGTATCGGAGTCTTCTCCTCCTCCTCCGCGGGCCTGGGGGCTCTCTGTCGGCTGTATTTATGTTCACGGGCGGGTGGTTGCGATTGGTCGCGGTGCCGTGCGTCGCCGGAGGAAAAACGGCGGAGACGAAAGGGAGAGGGGACGGGGAGCGAGAATGAAATCAGATTTTGAACGGTATGCTGACAGCTTTGGAGCCGTCGAATTCAGAGAAGATGTGTACATATGCTGACAGCTTGCAGCGATCAAGTTGAGACGATGGGTGTGCTGACGGCTCTTGGGGCTGTACTGTAAAACGACGCTGTCGGTTCGGAACAGTATCTGGCGAATTTCGGGCAACGGCGACAGAGATGGCGGAGTTTGCCACGACTGATCGCCTGCGTGTGGTACGCCGGTCAACCGTTCATTGGCCGACAGCTTTGTGTCACAATATGTTGATCGGTAGGTGTGCCCGCATTGAAGGCGAGAGAAAGAAAACAACAAAAATGGGGGCTTCACAACCTTCCAAAAGACGGGAAGAAAGAAGCCCGTGGAACGTTTTGTGAGAAACGCCAACAAGACTACATATGTAAAAGAAAAAAAAAAAGCGTGAGACAGCGAAGGCGTATGGCCCGAGACGAGTCCAACGTGAGGCGGACGTCGTTGCTCTCCGCGTGTTTAGAAGGTGTAGTTACAATTGTAAGTGCGCGAACGAGAGGTTTTTCGGGATCAGTCCAACACAGGTTTTCGCGGCAGTCGACGAACGATCCACGCCAAGGTTAAAATAAAAAGGCACAAGCCCCGGCTGGTTCCACGTCCTCCGTGGAACGATGCCTCACTTTCGCGCGAACGCCTAATTTGTCCCTCGCGCAAGTGCTGAAAGCAGTGTAGTAGCAACCTTCAGCCACGACCAGCCGTGAAAATAGAATAAAGAACATTTACGGGAGTAGGCAACAGGAAAAGCCCCTCGTTGGTGATGCCTCCTTGTGCAACCAAGCTTCGACCGCAGCCGTCTGCACGCGACGGTCAGAACACCAAAAACTGTGGCTACAAAGCCGACAACGCTACGGAGGGGAAACGTCCGGGCAAGCATGCACGGTGCCGATTCATCTTCATCCATTCGTCTTTGGGGCGATTTTCGTACGACGTTCTCGCCACACGGCGGCGGCGGCGGCGGCTGTGTGTGGTTTCAAGCGTGCAAGAAGGGGTGAAAACAAGAAAATATCGCCGACAGCGTGGAACCCACGTGGTTGCTCGCTAAGTCCTTCTCTAGACCACACAAAAACATTAATAACTTTGGCCGCATGAACGTCAAAAACCGATGAAATGGTGCAGCAATGTGTAAAAACAAATATACAAGCTGGAGTTATGGCCACTCCCAATCCAACCTGCCTGCGAAAACGGCGGTACTGCTGCTGTACCGGTCGAAAAACAACGTGTGACTCATGACTAAATAGAGCACACACTGCCCGCAGCAGTACCTCTCGCAAGGTCGCGAGAGGATCTCCCGATGACAACAAATACGGCCGTGAGTGCCGTGAGTGTTCCGACTACGGTTGTGCGTCCTGCTTGATCGACCGAACGAGTCGAGTTTCAAGTACCCCCGCTGCAACCTTGGCATTTCGACTCACTCAACTTCAGCAAGGTTACTCGTACAGGCTCTAGACAGCACACCAGGCTACGACACCCTCTCGGCGTAAAGCGGCAGGCGGCTGAATGCAAAGCAGCCTCAAACCTGAAACAATTCACTCGCGACATCCACTAGAAGACAGGACCACAGCACACAAATCGGCAAGAGCTTTTTAAGCCCCTGCTATCGCACTCTTCGAAATTGGAAGTCATGCTCCTCACGACGCTAAACGACGGTCGAATGGGCAAGAAAAACATTTTTCAATACAAGTATTTACCCCACACCACATATAGACCTGGCCCCCAATAGCGGTCAAGCTATTGGGGCATGTCGTGCGCTTCTAACCACACGGTGGTGGCATATCACTCGCTGCTGTATCAGCACGGCAAACATCACATCTTTGTCTGCCCTTCATTCCACAATAAAAACCACCACCACCACCCCCCACACACACGCCAACCGCACCGAGACTGATGTCTTTTCATTGGCCAGCCGGTTGGCAGCGGTCGACGTTTTTTCAAATACACGGCAGCATCACCACAGAGGCCTGGTCGACGTGGCGGGCGAATACGACGGGGCCGACTCGATGTTCTTTTTCATGGGCGAGCGGCTGAGCTTTCTAGGGACCCAGTACTGCGGACTCGCCTGAATCTGGCTATTCCCGGTCCCATAGACTGGCGAGGACGCCCCGATGCCCCCGGCCGTCGAGCGCGGCCCTCCCCGCTGGGACGCGGCCGCGGCCCCCCCCCGCCCCCGGACCCTGCCAACCCGCTTCGCTCCCATCCCTACGGCCACGGGAGACTGCTCCTCCTCCTCCTCTCCGACCGTGTGCGGGAGCGAGGAACGGCTGTCCATCATCCTCCGGTCTCCGGCCGCCAGCCCCTCGGTGATCACGTCCGGCAGGGTCATGACCGGCGTCTCGTCGCCGTCCTCCGGGGGGCGCTGCGCCTGCTCCGCCTTCCGCTGCGATTCGATCGCCTTCGCGAGCGCCGCAACACGGCCTCCGCCGCCGCTGCTGCTGCTGCTGCCGGCGGTAGCCGGAGTCGGCGGGGCCAGCGGTGCCTCCGCTCCGCGGGACGGGGCGGGGGAAGGAGCCGCGGCGGCGGCGGCGGCGGCAACATCGTCGCCGTCAGCAGCACCGCCTCCACCGTCGGCGGCAACGTCATCGAGCTCTCCTCTCTTGGCCGAGAACCTCGCCCGAGTCTTGGGCGGCGGCGGGATCGGGGGACCATTGCTGCTGCTGGCGGTACGCACCAACGAAGCCCGCTCGAGCCTGGCGGACAGGGCGCTCCCCGTGACGGACGGCGGCGCGAGGTTCCTCCGCGGCGGGGAGAGGCTCCTCGGGCGCGGCAGATCGTCCGAGTTTGGCCTGTGTGTGTGTGTGTGTGTGTGTGTGTTTTTTTCATTGCGTGGACGGCAGAGGGGCAAGGATGGCACAGGGTCGCGTCAGTTTAACCGGTACGAGAAGGTGCTGAACTGAGAACGGAAGGGTTAGTAATGTCAACACAACAACAACAGGGCTTGGGAAGGAGTGGATTGGCTGCAGATATCGCGCATTGTTGGGGTCTGGGATGCAACGTGTTTCTGGGCCGTTACGTCGGCTATGGAGAGGAGGTTCAAGCTGGTCGAGGAACAGGGAGCAGATGGGAGAGCGGGGAGGATTTTAAGGCACATGAGTGGGTGAGGAACCTTGCCGAAGTTCCCGGAGCCCTTCCCCTCGTCTTAGGTTCAATCGACCGGTTCATGCTTACAAGGTGTTGAGGGCAGGATGTCTCCCCGTATGACATGTGAAAACGCCGAAGAACAAGTTTCGGACAAAACAACTGTTCCCCAGAGTTATCAGCTGTATATCGACATCGCCCTCCCCGCCGCATCATGTCGGGGATGAGCTACTTGTACTGCTGCCTACTCTGCATGATGAACATGGACGTTGGATGTGCGATGCAATATGATGAAGATGTAGGGATTCACGACGGAACAACGATTGTTCAAAGTGCGGTGTTATATTATTGTGCAAAGTGACAAGCAATGATGGCTTATGGTCAAAATGCACGGCGGTACATAGTGGGATCCCTCTAAAGCCAATCGACGAACTGCTTGTGCCCACGGACGTGGCAGCAGGGTGCGTGAACTGGTACATGCTTGTGCAAATAGGAACCGAGAATATACCGCGTTCCGAGACCCGAGACCCCCTTCTGTCGCTGGTGGCAGACCGATTGGGAGATAGAACATTTACATTCTCATCCTCTGAAGTTGTATTGTAGTGACAGGCGGGTGTGTGATCGTAAATAAAGTGCCACACACGCGCTGAAACGAACTATGTACAGAGCAAACTTCATCCCCATACGATAGCCAGCGTATGCACAGCCTATGTATGACTTCACACTCGCAGCGCGGCACACACTGCGGTGCTGGATCCTTGTAAGACCGACGTGTTGTCATCCAAAAGCTTAGATCGGGTGACCCACAAAAACGGGCACACGTTGGATGCAAAAGTCTCCACTGCCTGTTATTAGCACTCCAACACTCACGAGAAGGAGAGCACGTGCCCGCTGCACGTGTATGCAACGGGAACCCCATCAAGCCCGCCTCATCTCCACCTCCTCTGCTGTTGCTACTCATCATTTCGTCCTCTCTCTCACAAGCAAAGACGCAAAGACGCACCTCGCAGGAAGCTCAGGCTTGGCGGGCTCGGGCGCCCGCGGCGAAGTCAGGGAGTGCGTCAGCCCCAGCCTCCGGCTCGCGCGGTCTTGCTCGCGGCCATCGACGGCTCGAGGTGACCGACCGCCGATGTCCCCTGCTGCTGATTTCGGGGTGCCCCACCCAGACATGAATGACTGCTGCTGCTGCTGCTGCTGTGCGGTCTGGAAAAATAATCAACGGGATTTTTTTGCGCGCACCCGCCGCCGCTTCGGGAAATGAAAAGAGACGGAAGGACGCTTGGTGCTGAGCTCCCGACCAGCTTCTGGTAGGGTTGTTTGCACGGGTGCGGGCGCCAATAGACAAGCCCACGCTCCCAAGATCCAAGGCTCTGGACTTGCAACCTTGTGTGGGTCGTGTGGGGGTGGTGCTGTTCGAGGAAATTCTTGGGGGCTCGCTGAACGAGAACTCCAATATCCAGGATGCGCAGGATCCTAGCTGCGGGTCCCCTCCCTCTCCACACCGCACACCACTTGCGACATCCTACACGCGTGCACGCCCCAAAACGACACACAGGACTGCACCATGGGTGGATCGTGGCGAGTCGGGTTCGCCCTGCTGTCGGCGTTCGCCTCAGGTCGGTACCTCCTACAGCAGGGACGAATTTATTGCCCTGTTTACCAGTCCTCTCGCGTTCACACGCGTCAACCCTTTGCGCTACAGCTGTAGGAGCAGAGATGACAGCAGAGCAGGAACCTGGTGTTCAACAGTTTGTGTGTCAGTCTTTGTGTCCACTTGGTGGGGCTGGTAGGTGGGTGTGTTTACCTGAGAGCTACCTTCTTTCATGGGTAGATTGTTGGAAAAGCTGTTGGTTGTAAATTTGTGCAGGACCGATCATGCATCCTCCCAACGTCAACTTTCCCGCTATCTTGGGCGAGCAATGCCGATGGCGATGCTGAGGATTAGCGTTTGGTTTGACCTCCGGTTGTTGCTTGCACGATTACAGAGTGCTGTCGTCGCCCTGGACACCCCTTCATTGTCGTCGCGAACAAGACGTAGAGGAGCAGTAAAACAGGAATCGTGTCCCTCATGTGCCCTGCAAGAGAACGGGATCATGTTTCAGCGGTTGTGCTCCTGGACAGGGTAAACTACTTGGGTCTGTCTCCCACGAAGATAAAGATAAAACACTTCTAGAACAAGAGTCCTCGCAACGTTTCGCCCCCTCCTCCTCACTGGTGTCCAAACCCTATTGCCTCACGTTCAACGCACGCGCCTGTGGGAAAACATGAACGACGACGTTGACTCCAGTGCACTCCAGTAGAAATCAAGGCCCCACCGACCCCCGACTCGTCTGGTTGAAGCTGTCTCTTCTTTTATACCACAGCGAGGTAAAATAGTAAAATAGCAGGTCGGGGCGTACACCACACCATCATCGTGTTTGGAACTCTTACAGTCGTGTATGCATCTGCTTTGATACCGTGCGCTCCGCTCGGGCACTGCTGTGCTTGCGTCGCGTCAGGGCCTGCATCCCATCTGCGTACCGTACCACTGCTGGTCTATTATGGGGTTTCCACCGCGTCCACCATTGCACCTAAAGCGCCCCCCCCCCCGAACCCCCACACAAACAAGTAGCATACCTCCCCCATGACGCCCCCTCACGGGGTCCCAGATATTGGCCTTCATGAGCATTTTGTGTTTTCAACCGCACTGAGACTATACATTGTATGCCGTCTTTTTGTTGGTCGCACGGTTGGCGTGGTCGATGCTTTCTGTATCATCCATCAGATGTTCCGTTACCCCCTGCTGGATGGAGAACCTACCAAACATGAGACGTAGCCCGGAGCCCTCTTTACCGTCTGTCTTTTGCCAGGAGAAGCTTCATTCACCCGTTGCTCCGCAATTTCAAGTCGATCGAACACGGGGGGGACTAAAAAATGGAAGAAAGCCATATGCGGGAAAGAGAGAAGAGATACATGTGGACCCTCGTACTGGCGCAGGTCATGCGACCATCATAACAATGGCCGATACTCTTACCTTGCATCTGTAGTGGGCACGTGGGCACCCTAACAAATGGCACCTCCAGTTCCTTCTCTACGGGTTGAGGTATCTCCCAGCCACCACGTGTCCCTATTGTTTCGTGATGGTTCACAAGGCGTTCTCATCTTTTGCAAATCCGGCCCCGCGGGCAGTAGCAAAAAAATAGAATTCCCAGCATAACACCACTGCAAAATGCAGCGGAACGTAACAGCATTTCCTGGTTCAACCAAAACCGGCATAACCCTCCTCGCTCTGGTCCGTCTTCTCTGCTCCCGGTTAATCTCGACCCCCCCCTACCCCTCCCGCCCCTTCCCCACGCCGCTTACACGCAGGAACCACGGGCTTTGTGTTGAAAGCTCCCCTGCCGAACAACGGCGCGGCGGCTTCGGCGGTACGAAGACCGGCAACAGCGGCATGCCCGCTCTACGCCGCTCGCTCAACCGTGGCGGCAGGAAGTGATGGCGTCGCCGCCCCTCCTCCTCGCACACCATGGACCTGTCTCGCGCCCGGCGGAAAGGTCGGGCGGGCAAAGGTCTCCCTGGAGAGGGCGGTAACCTCGGTGGCCGCGCCAAAGTCGGAGTCCGCACAGGAAACCAAGGTATGACTGCTGCAGTGACGCGTTACAATCCTGTTTTTTTATTACTGCTGTTCCTTACAATCAAGCAATTTTCGTTCTGTCGCGCAATGCGATGTTTTGTTGAAGCTGGAAAAAGACGCATGCACTTTTGGGGCTGTTTTTTTTTTTTTTGTACGCAACGACCCCGTTTTTTTGCAACCCATGGATAACCCTAACCCTAAACTCAACGTCTGCTTCCCGTCGTCTCTCTCTCTCTGTCTGTCTCTGTCTGCCTCTCTGTGGCTGTCCGTCTGTTTGTCCCCCTCTCTCTCCCTCCTTACGCCAAAATCTCTTTTTATTCCCCCGCCCCTCTTCTTGTTCGCGCCGGACGCCCGACGCGGGGACGAAAAACGCACAAACGCAAAACAGAAAAAGCAGGTGACGAAGACGAAGCGAGCGACAGAGACGGAGGACGCGCCCATGTTCCAGGTGCTCGTGATCGGCGACGAGGAGTACAACCGAGAGCACGTGGTCATGTCCATCCAGGACATCGTCCCGGACACGGACAACACACGGGTGGGTGCGGCGAAATTAATCCCATTTTCGCATACATAGAAAGCACATCAGTCTCGTGGATTATTGGCCCGTTTTTGTTCTCGGTGGAAAGGGGAAGGATACTCGCGTGGTGTATGTTGAAACGGGAAATTCATCTCCCGGAGAGGTGTAGCGGCGGCGGTGGGAGGGGGGGAGGGTGAAGAGCTTCCCACGGACCAAGGGGGTGTCGTCGTTGCTCCCACGGACCATTGACTGCTTGCCCCCTTGTACATATTCCTTAGTGTTTTGTGCAGGCAGTTGAAAATCTTTTCGGGTCCAGTTTTGGAACCACAAGGTTTCATGTGTTCTATCCGGACGCGGTTTTCTCGGGAAGATTGCAACACACTGACGCGAACACGAAAAGTACCGGAAAGAGGAAAAAGGAAACAATGGAAATCGAGAATCGACGAACGCACGTGGGAACGAACTGTTGCCGGAGTTGAGGGGGCTTGGCAAGGACAAGAAGGATGGGTGCCTGCGTACTTGACCACAAGAAAACTTGTGATATTGCACCCTTTTCAGTCGAAGCCCGAGAGACGCATGTATCCGTACATGCTAAGCAAGTAACAACTTGAAGTCTACGTGGAAAAGTAAAAGAAGCACGGCGCACTACTCATCTACATGCTATGCACGTACAACACCTTGGAGACTACGTCGATAACTAAGAAAAAGAGAGGCTGTGCACCACTCGAAACCGTTTCCGTGTGTGTGTCGAGCAGGCAGTGGAGATCCACATGTGTTCCAAGTAACACCTTGAAGCCTACGTAGATAAGCAATACCAAACGGTGCACCACACCAAACCCCTTCCGCTCGGGTGTGTCTGTCGAGCAGGCGGCAGAGATTTTCGAGGAGGCCCAGGAGGGAGGCAAGGGCTTCTGCGGCACCTACCCGGAGGAAGAGGCCGAGCTCTACGTCGAGCAGTTCACGCGCTGCGAGCCAATCATCTACGCCGATATGGAGAAGGAAGGGGCACAGAAGGGAGCCGAGGCAGGAGCCTCCGCATGATTTTTCGGGCCGCATGCGTTGCATGGATGAGAGCTGGGCGGCAGATTCGGAGGCAAGGGGGCAGCGAGGGTTCCGGTGCGCGTGCTGTTCGGCACTCTGTTGTGTTCGCTTCCTCATCCTCCCCAATGTCTCACGGTGGAACCGGAGTGTTGTTGTGATTGGGAGGGGGGCAGGAGGCACGGCGGGAGTAACCCCTTGTTTCTGTGTCGTTTCTTGACCTGTTGAACTTCCAGAAACCCGACCACGTCTCGGCTTCCTCTCAAGGATCCAAGAGCTGATCGTTTTAGCGTTTTAGAAGACCGTGTTGACGGACACGGCAATGGATAAACAAGCACTCGCTCTCTTGCAGACGTACGACGGCGTTTTCCGTCCTCCGTTGTGGTGGTACTATTGTTTATCTTGCCTTGTCCGTAAAAGAAAAAAATAACAGTATAACTTGTTTCTCCTGTTGCTCTCTGTTGTGCGCGTTGGATGTGGCTGGCGCCCGAGTTTTGCTGGAACACTGCAGCTGCACACTACTATGTCAAAAGAAAAGTTAATTCATAGGTATTGCGGCACTCAACGAAAAATTACAGCAGGAAGATGCCGCGATCACCCGAGGCCAGTCGGCTCCCTTGTTCACTTGCGCTACATACCTCAAATCGCACGCACCGCAGGAAATCAACGCATCACCCTTGAGTCCGGTGCCGGTTGCGTAGTATTTTCTGCAGATTTTTCTGCAGAACGGCAGAATAAGGTGTGATGCGCTCTCTCTCACTCTGAAAATGGGGAAGGGAGACTTTCGGAAAGGATCGCAACACCTATTTAGTTTAGGCTCCCATTCTCCGGGAGGGTGTCATGCGAGTTCACGCATCATCGCACGCATCCACCACGGGGTAAAACGGACAGCACCGTTGCCGAAAACATCCCGATTTATTCATTCCGTGCTTAGACGAGCGATTTTTTTCCGGGAGATTTCGACAACACGAGAAGAAGCAAATCCCCCACCATTGGACAGGGAGAACGAAACGAAAGTCTTGTCGACCGATGCTGTCTACGTTGACGGTGCGTTTTCTGTGGTATGGGTATCGAGAACACCCAGGGGTGAACCGCGGGAGGCGTGCTGCAAAACCCGCAGCAGCACGCGGACTACATCGCGGTCGCGCAAACCCCGGACAGAATTGAACGAAGACGTCCATCCTCCCCCCCCCACCCCCGAATTTTGGGTGAGAAAAGAACGCATGCACCCAGCCACACAGGTCACCAATTGCTTGTTTGAGGATTTTCCGGCACCCCGCCCCTTTGGAGCAGCTGTGCCGTGGTCGTGCCAGCGGTTGGGCAAGCCGCTTGGTAACCAAGTCACCGCCCCAGAGACTTGGTTTCTTCACACAGAGACGTTAACGAGCAACCTCACACGTCAATCAGGCTACGATTCCGACCCTCTGAGAGCGTGTTTTGCGTGGAAAGCCTCTAGTTACATACCAGCGCGTGTGGTTGGCTGACCACCCGGTGGTGGGTGCGGGGATCTGCCCAGACGGCAGTCAACACGCACGGACTGCAGGACCACAAAACAAGCACATGAAGTCGATGTACTTGTCTTAATAGCGAACAGCGACGACGACGACGAACGACAGCGGTGGTGTATTGGGTGCTTCGCTATTTCGCCGCCCCTCCATCGTACAGACCCCTAGGTGTTCCCCGTAGAACCAACAGTCCAAACGTGCACGCTTCGATCATGACGAAGGGTAGTCTCATCAGACTTGACGACAAATTGCAGGGTAGTCTTCAACTCGAAGCACTGGAGAGTTGCAGTTATACCTGTCTCTCTTCTCTTGTCTGTAGACTCAAGACCCCCAGCCTTCCGGGGTCCCCCTAAATCTTCTCTCACGCTATCCTCCTCCACTTCCCGAGAAGATCGCGATGGCGCTACTACACAACCGACCAAACACACCTGCTGCTCATACGTAGAGCCACGAAAACCACAAAAACCGTTAATTAAACCTCTCCCTGCGCGTCCACGTAGACGTGCGGCTTCCCCTGCTGCCGGAGCTTCTCCTGCTCCATCCAGAAGATGCACGTGTCGATGGTGTTTCGCTCCGACGCCACGGTGCCCACGGCGACGCTGTCGTTCCAGTAGACGGGGTTGTAACCCCTCTTCAGCCTCCCGGATAGAACTTTGTGTCGCATGTTGCCCTGGAAAAAGACGACCAGGGCGTAACAGCGGTTTAGTCAAACCAGGGGGGGGGTTGATGATGTATGAATATTCAACACCTGATGAGAGGGAGAGAGAGAGAGAGCGAGAACCTATCGGCGATACTGCTCGACGGTGGTTGAAAACAAACACAAAGACAGAAATCGCGGAATTACTTACAACGTGAGGCGCGACATGTCAAGCAAAGAGGGAGCGTCGGCGAACAAAGCAGTTGTGAGCAGTACAACTACCTACACTGCGATGTTCACCTCACTTCACGCGCAGGCTTGCGCAGCACTGTGTAGCGCCTACAATTATTTGTGGTGAACTCAACAATCACTCCATCTCTCTCCCAAGTGCAGGTGCGCGCAGTCACATCTCCTCCTCCTCCTCCTCCTCCTTCTCCTCCTATGAAAATCTGCAGCACAGATCGAACGATGTATGATGCGATGTTTACGTTGTCTACATACACTTACCGCGGTCTTGGCAGGCCTCCCAAGGTCTTCGACGAGCGCCAACCGGTTCTGGTGGCTGGCGTGCCCGCGCTTGGCGGCCTCCGCGTCAAGGTCCTCGGACGACGTCATGTACGTCGACACCAGCTGCGAAATAAACCCACCCGGCTGTTGTAACGCGTGTGTGTGTGTGCGCGCGCGAGTGTTGTTTTCAGCCCGCCGGATGCCCGGGAGGGTAGCCGAAGACGACGACAACGCAGCGGCGGCGTGCGCAGAAAGAGATGAATTTATGCCGAATTTGATCACGCAATTGTTCATGTTTCTTTCTACGGGGAGCTTGGGGGTAGAGGGGTATGCGCTGTGGGAACAAAACACCCCAAGAGGCGAATTGATTGTACTGCCAATCTGGACGTGGGCGGAGTTCTGATTCGTGCAAGTGACCCCGCATATACCACGGCGGTGGAGTAGTAACGAAACACTGTGTCCCGCCAAGAAGTTAGTCTCTCAGCAGTCACCAAGCATTCGTTACATGGCTTTACACGGGTACCATGGCATTAGACCCCAGTGCAAGAAATAGGCACATTTAGACGAAAACGACTTCTTACTGCTGTACAGTAAGTAGTCTTTGGTGCTGCTGCTACTGCTGTACGCTAGGATGGCTCCGCCGCCACGGAGCGTAGTGCGTCGTCGCCTGCTATGCTGTCAGATGCAACCAATGCTCAAGTGGGCCTAATACATGAAAGCATGCTATTATACCGACGCCATTCCTAAGCCTGGTGCCTCTAGTTTGAAGCCACCTCACGCTACTGCCGGAAGTCTGTGACATTGATGGGAGCTCTGAAGCTTACATCTACGGAGCTACGCAGCAGCATGCACATCGTGCAAGGACTTGTTCGCCAAAAGGGAGCAACACCTGGCTTGCACACAGAACCCGACTGCAGTAGGGGAGGCAATTTCGCTCGTTTTCGTTCTTATGTCAGAGGGAGAGAGATGTAGGACGCAAGGTCAGCTGTGTTACCACGGCGGTGCCTTCAGTGCAGCTCGTGCCTTAGCGAAGGAACGAATGACGACATTTTCTTGCTTCCTGTCCAACTTTGGCCTGCCTGCTTGCTGCGTTGAGCAGGAAGTACTGACTCTTATCGTCAAACTCTCTTGCAACAAACCCTCGAGCTCACCATCTTGGCTTCTTTCTCTCTCTCGAATTCGCCCTCTTATGCCTGGCCTTCCGACCTGGTAGCTTCTCCTCCTGCCTCGTGCGCTTCTCTGATGAGTGAGCTCGGAGTTGTGCTGTGCAGTGCTGGCTCTGCTCTGGCTGCTGCATCGCTATGTGTCCCCCGAAACCCCCGCTTACCCCGTCCCTGCGGTCTACGCGCCCCCCCTCCGCACCCCTTCTCCGGAGATGTGCGTACATCAAGCACTCAAGCACCAAGCACCTCACGACCGCGCGTAACTCCATGTTTCGAGGCCGCAGCAAAATTATTAACAGCACACAAAGTACTCTGGCTACTTCGCCAAAATGTCAACATGGTGAATACAGTATTGTGCTGAAGCATGTGAGGAGCGAGGACCAGCTAATAGCAGACATACTGACGAAGCATCTGGACATACATACATACACGTGGATCGTGTCCCAAAACATGGAGGATCTCGGAGATTTGACACGGGGTGACGGCCGTTAGAGTCAGATGTTGTACAACCGACAACAGAGAGACCTGAAAAGAGGGTTGGTGGTGTGACTGCACACATCAATGCTCAAGACAAAGGACGACCTGGTTTGACCAAGAACATCATCATCTATGCATACAACGACTATGGCCTCAGAAAGTGGATCCGGATTCATCTCGAGCGACGACGAACGAACGCAACATCAACTACGAGCTCTGCGACATTTAGACTAGTGACAAAAATTGACTTCGTCTCGGCGACAACAGACTTCGGTCGGAACAGACTTCGGTCTGAACATTACACCTAACTCTGTCTGGAACTAACCCCATACCATACGCTTAACCGCTTGGAGACGACTCTTGGGGTACAGGGCACCTCGGCACTACACATGTCTACATGCCTTATTATTATAGGATGCCATGATCTGCCACAAAACGTCCCATGGTCCGGGTTGTGGAAAGAAAGGTTCATGAACCTCCATGCAAACTCATGGGGCTCCATGGACCGATCCAAAAACGCCCAAAAACTGCTGTAAACGACCCATCGATGGGCGACAAACTTTTCTCTCGTCTTGGGGTTACCATTGGCGAGCCACCCGGTGTTTCGTAACACGCAGCTGCACACGCATGCATATGTTCCTATTCCAATGCATGCCTTTGCTTCTCAATTCCTTTTCTGGAAGTGTCCAGAATAGCGGTGAGATAATAGTCGTTATCGGGGAAATGGTTCCTACTTGTAGGTTCCTAGAACGAATGCTGTGGTTGTTGCAGTTAGTATTTGGCATCTGACCCGCACCCTCTATCTGATCTTCAAACAACAGCGATGGCAATTTGTCGAGTACAATTTGTGTGTTCGGGTTCACGGTACAACAAACTCCGCCGAATCGCTTTGTAAGAGCTTTGCGAACCGTGCCCCTTCGCACAGAATCGTCGCGGCGTCCAAGACGTAAAATCGTACAGATAACGGGCCAGATTTACCACCGCTCCCTCTTGCGTCTCTCGGTGTTAAAGCAACAGAAATATCCTACCTATCTAGACTAGACGCATTTATGCAACAACCGAAGAGTCTCCGACGATCACGGACTTCGCATCTACCCCGGCCAACCGAAGCTTCTCTCCTTGTTGGAGTTGCTGCTGCTGCTGCTGCTGCTGCTGCTGCTGCTGCTGCCGCTTAGCCCGCCCGCTCATAGGCTTCTTTCCTCCTCCGCGGTCATCCTTTTCGTCGCCCACCTGGATGACGATGCCTCTAGCAACACGTTCAGCAAATTTCGACGCCGCGTGGGAATCGACAATCGCGAGCGTTGGGACCCTCACGCCCAAGCGCAGAGGAAGACGCTGGCCCCCTTCTTCCCCCCCGTCCCCTCCACCGCCCTTCCTTGTGGGATACGCCTCGACGTACGCCCGGTCTCTGGCGGCGCCATCCCAATACAACCGAACAACCATGTCCCGCGTCTCTCCCCGGGAAGCGTCGGCCGTCTCGAGTCCGCTGCTGCAACTCGGATCGCGCTTCGTGGCCGTTTTGGCATCATCGTGTTTTCCGGGTTGTGTTAATATTGTGAGGCCGCCTTCTTCTCCGGCGGCGACTGCGGAAGAAGCGTCAGAAGTGCTGGTCGGGGATGACGAGGAGGCGTTCGACGAAACAACCATGATCGGTTGGCCTAACGGGCCGACGATGGGGACTTTCCGTCGAGCTCGCAGGATGATCGTCGCCTTGGGGGCCTCTGACCGAAGGTTTAGACCGGCGGTATCTCTTTTATCGTCCCCTGTTCTTCGGTTGCCGCTATTACTACTATACCCGTCGTCGAAGTGTTCCACCTGATCGCCCTCGTAGCCCACGGAAAACGCCATCCCCTCAGCGTCCGCCGCAAACGGAAACCCTCCACAGTCGTCGAGCTTGTGCCTTCCTTCCTTGGATTGGCCATCCGCCGACGAGCGTTCGGCTTCGCCAGAGGCGCTGCTGCCGTGCACGGAACTACTGGCGTGCTTGTCGAGCGGGAACTCCAGGCCCACCTTTCCCACTGAAGTAGTTGTCACCTGTGTTTTCGTCGTTCGAAAGACAATAATGATACCAGTCGGCAATCACCATGATTTGTGTCGGCGGTGTTCGTAAGGGAGAGCTGGAGCCGCAGAGAGAGCGTGGACCGGCAACCCGGCGTAACGTTCAGTGTAGTTGCTCGTGTTCCGTGTCGTGCCAGGCGGAAGTCGTGATCGCGTGAATGTCGTGGTGTTTCGATGAAAACATCAAGCAGGTTACGATCCACTTTACGCTGGACGATTTCGACAACTGAAATCACAACGGCTTTGTAGGTCCTTCCTACCTCAAAAGCAGCAAGAAAAGCATCCAAAGTGAGAGCACCACACCATCTATCGGCCGTGTAGACTCGGCATTGCCTGAGAGTACACGTTCACCTTTGCGTGCCTCACAAGAGACCGCGCCAAGCTCAACAGTGGGTCAACCTTCCCGGCTGAAGGTTCTCCCGCCGCCAAGGCCGCGGCCGCCACTGCCTCCGCCCTCGCCACCGCCGCTGCCCCGGGCGCCGCCCTGCCCGGCACACTGCTCTGGGAAGCGCTGGTACCGGTGCTGCGCGCCCGTTGCAGGATTTTCACCTATGAACCAATTTCCACCGGAGAAATTTTGACCAATTTTTTAGAATGACACGCTGTGCCCTTTCATGACGACTGCCATCCGACAACACTTCTTGTGGACCGTCACAGCAACCAGAAAGCGCCAGAGACCTACAAGAGAGTGGCCTCTTTTAACCGGGGTAGGGGGAGACGGAGAACCCTGGATTTTTGCTCGCGAAAGCAAAGAGCAGTCACGATCTGCTTCCAAAATACCAGGTACACTGGGCCACAAAGCGTACCATTGGGCAAGACGCTTGAGCGGACTCCATCCTACTACCATAGCCGAGGCCGCCCTTGAGTATAAAAAGGGCGGCACCGTGACGAAAAACGCGACCCTTGCCTCCTTTTCCCGCTCCATGAAGAGGACGCAGTTGAAACAGAAGTCCACCACGTCGACGAACGTGGTGCCCTCGCGGGTGTCGAGGTCGGCCGCCACCCACAGAGCGTTGATCGTGTCCGGCTGGGTTGCATGCAGAAATGCCAGGAATTGCGACGTTGAGACGTTATTAAGTGATAAGCGCCTGCATAGACTCTTCAAATCAGAATCGTCTCTAGGGTTTGACCTCACCGATTGGAGCGCAGTCCCACGTTTGTTTCTTCGACATGCTTGAGAAAGCCGTGGCAAGAGCGTGCTATAAATGGTAAATGTAGGTGATCTACGTAGCTTTCTTGTTTGAAAGGGCCTACAGCAGTAGCTTCAGATACAAACGCTCTCTCGCTCGCTCCCCCCGACATCATTCTTTGTTGTGTCTTGCTTGCGTGCTGTGGCATAGAGAGATGGAAGTTAGGGAGAAACTAAATCCTCGGCAAGGTTCGTGTCCTGAAAACCAATTTCTGACTTCTTTGAAACTTCTTCTGTGCAGCTGTGAAGGAGTCGGCTTCTTGTGCATGATACCCATTGGCCAATTTCATCTTTGCCGAAGCGTTGTTTCCTCTCTGTGATCGCACCCCTGTCAAACACGGTGCGTCTTCAAATTCGCGGGTATTCCGGGCAGAGTCCAGTGCGTGAAATGCTGAGAGTCGATACAGACACTACCATCTGTCTTATGGTTCGCCATACCTCGAGGTCGAGGCCGAGGGACGCCATGCATCTGGCGAATGTCGCGGGGTCCCTGAGCCGCTCGATAGCAGCTCCTTGTTTGTCCTGTAAATATCGCCGTAGCACAACATCCGCACCTATTGACCCGTTGGTGCGACCCGAAGACTACTTGTACAGCTCAGAGCAATTCTTAGGACGCGCCCAATGCTCGTGTTCTGTAGGCTCGGCCGGTCGTTGTCAGACTACTTTGTTAGGAGGGTGAAGGTCTGTGCACCGCACGCTTAGTAAAACGTTCCGGTTCGTACCCCTTCACGCATTCGAGGTGTTCGCTGGCCTCTCTCTTCTCTCTCTCTCCCTCTCTCTCCCGCTCTCTTGCGCTTTGCTAAGGCTTCTCGACCTACCTCTCGCAAAATTTCGACGATTTTTCTCTGAATGTCGTCGCGGCTTTTCCCCCGCACCGTCGCAGTTCCCGCCCCTTGCTGCTGCTGCGAACCTCCCTCTCCCATGCCCCCCCCAACGCCCCCGCCTCCCCCAGGCCCGCGGTTGTTGTTGAAAATCTCGTGCCTCATCTTGAGAGACCACGGGTGGAACATCCCTTCGATCGTCTTTGCTATCATGGGCACCTGTAGTAGCATCGGTTGTTTGACGAGAAGGTCTGGACCACGTCGTGTGTACCGGGGAGAGAATTGATGCTGCCGCACGATAGCTACACCTAACCCCAGACGACAGGCAGCTTTGCGTCTCGCCAGACGTGACACGGACGCAACTGCTTCGTACACCGTAAAAGCTTAAAGTGAACCACGTAGTCTGTGGGTGCAATTGTCGCCCTCCCTCCCTCCTTCCCTCCCTCCCTCCCTCTCTCTGTCTCTGTCTCTGTCTCTGTCTCTGTCTCTGTCTCTGTCTCTGTCTCTGTCTCTGTCTCTGTCTCTGTCTCTGTCTCTCTGTCTGTCTCTGTCTCTCTGTCTATCTCTCTCTCTGTCTCTCTCTCTCTCTCTCTCTCTCTCTCTCTCTCCCCCTCGTTCTTCTTATCTCCCACGCGTGTTGCATTCCCTTTCGCCTCGTTGCTGCCTCCCGTGGTGGTCACCCTTTCTGTCACGCTCTACAGCCATTACTTGTAAATTTCACAGAGAGCGACATCCACAAAAAAAACGCACGTCAATGAGTACACTACAACGTCCGTGTCTAGCCGGAACGGCGAGAGCCTGGATTTTTTCCACTCGATTTGTACAAGGTACCACCACACACGTACCAATTCGATGTAGTTGACCATGCCGTCTAAGATGTTCGCCTGGCTCATCAACGCCGTCACGTGCAGCCGGCTCAGGCTGAGCAAGGGCGCGTTGAGTAGAAGTTTCGTCAGCTGGCGTGCCCGCAGCACCCTGCCACCGCCGCCGCCGCCGCCGCCGCCGCCGCCGTCATTACGCCCATCGCCATTATCACACGGTTGGTTGGGGTAGAACGGCAATCGAAGCACAGGGGGGCAGAAAGATTTTGTTCAGAAGATGTCTTCGACCACCAAGAGATGAGCCGAATGCCGGGAAACAAGCAAACAAACCAACGTCGAGTGGAGGGTATCAAACTGCCACGTTCTCAGGTGGTCCTGAGTCGGCAGCTGCTATAACACGGCGCGCCGCGCCGGATCCCTCATACCCTGCATGTATCCCTTTCCGACCGCCACGGCTCACCCGGAGAAGAGCGTTTGCCACCCGATTGGTCGGATCCCTATACCCTTTTCCGACCGCCCCGGCGTACCCGGAGTAGTGCTTGCAGCCAATCCCTGTACCCTTTTCCGACCGCCCCTGCTTACCCGGAGTAGTGCTTGCCGCCGATTGCCACGGCGTCTCCGTTGCTCTTCATGTGCCCCTTGTTCCCCAGGGGGTCGCTCTTGGCTTCCTCCTCCCTGCACAGGGCCATGAGGTACTTCTGGGTGTCTGACGCCGAGGCCTCCGCAACCGTGTTGCGGAGAGTGGTGAACCGGACCTGTGATGAGCAAGGAACACACACACACACACACCGCGAAACATTAAGGGGGTGGAGGGATACCATTGGATCCGGTTTAGCGACCCCCTGTTCAGCAACATGCCCTGTAAGCGGCCGCAACATCGCGTGGTACGACCCGCCCTGAAGAGCGACCATATTCCCTCCTGGCACTGAGGGACGCTAAACCGGGGGCCCACCACTGTATTAGCAGTGCGGTTCATTTTCGGTAGCCCTTCTTCAGGTGTTTCAAGCGTCGGGAGCCAATGTTTGATTCATTCTGTAGGATATGCGTCTGGGAGAGCACATGTACAAGTGCCGAACAAGACGGCTGTGTGGGCACCCGTTCAGGCATTAACACTAAAGGTCACGAGTGCAGTGAAGACAGGCGGGGCTGCGCGTGTCTGAAGGCATTTTGTGAACATCTGGGCGCTAATCCGCAGGGACCACCCCCTACCTGACAGCCGCGAAAGATTCAAGTGGAGTAAAACCGGGTGGGATTGAGCGTGCCCGAACGAGAGTTTTAACCTCTGGATACCGTTTCGCAGGAACGACAGTAATTTATCTGGCAAATCGACCGTTGACGATCACAAGAAATAAACGAAAAGAAGCTAACAGCAAATACTACGGTACACTGCAGACCGCACCACCCCTTTTTCTGATCTGAATAAGTACAAGGTAGAAGCGAAGCCTTACACAAGAAGTTTAACCCCAGCCGCTTACACAAGAAGTTTAACCCCAGCCGACACTACAGGCTGTTTGTCCTCTGTTGGTGTCGTCCTAGAGGACACCAGCCGCGAGCGTTGTCCCAAAACAAGTAACAGGCTTCTAGAAAGTGGGGGTGGCGCGTCTCTGTACCTGCTCCAGACCGGCCCCGAGCTTCCGGTAGACGACGTTCCCGTGAGAGTCCTTGGGCAGGAGGTTGAGCAGCAGCTTGGACTCGATCTTGGTTAGGCCGCCGCAGCGGTCGGCGGAGATGCACTGCTTGAACTCCGCTCGAGGGAGGACGCCAGTGCCGTTGGGGTCGTGGCTCTTGCAAAGGGTCTTCAGCTGCCGCACCAGGCGGTCGAACTCGGCGTCGTAGAGCGCATGTATCGCCTTGCGGGGGAAGGAAACAGAGGACCAGGTGAATGGTGGTGCGGTCATCGCGTCTTGAAGGCAACATGCCAAGCGGGGGGCGCGAGCGGCGGAGCGTACTCTTATGTTTTGTATGCCAGTGGTTGGACCATTGACCACACGTCCTCGAGAGGACGGAGAGCGGGGACGGGAGGGAGATCTAGCACAAGAGGAGTAGGGGCGTGAGGTACCTGACTCGACGAGAATTTTCCCCTTCGGGAGACTGTATCACCGTTGTAAGCCGACAGCTACAATAAGGTAAGCGCCGAATACCACTTGGGACAGTTGCAGGGATGTAACCTCTGGAACCCCAACCGTTTTTGACGAAGGGGGACTGCTGTTTGTTGCGACGGGCGCGGGGACCGAGAGGGTAGATCGGATCGACTGGAATGTACCTGCTGGTCCAGGTCAAGGTTCGCTTCGTCCATCTCCTCGCAAGCGCGACGCCTCGCACGGAAGGCATCCACCAGGTTGTAGGCCAGCGGGATGAATTCGTAGTACTGGTGCGCCAGCGGTTACGGCGCGCGGGGGTGAGCAGGCATCGAGGGAGCGGTGAACAATATTGCTGTCATGTGAGCTTGTGTTGCGGTAATTGATCTGTGTTAGCGCCGGGCGGAGAAGTGCGTGCGTGCCAGCGTATGTGTCGACGCACACTTTTTCAAGGCCGACGCATACAGGCACCCAATGACGATGTCTCACCGGACTGCTGCTACACGAGGTGCGACAAGTTCGACACCTTTGGGAGGTAAAGCGTGCCATCTCTTGCGTCGCTTGTTCGAAAAAAAGACAGAACAACGAGCAAACACTGAGAAAAGCTTTGCTCCAGGAGATGGGGACCATGGGGAGAGACACAGACGAGACGAGAGCATCGACGCCTCCTTACATCGATTGTGCCGTCAGCATTATCGTCGGCTTCCGCGATGACCAGGTGCAGCTCCGGCCCCGTCAAGCCCAGCTCGGCGTTTTGCATTATCGACGTCAGCTGTTCAGGAGTCAGGAATCCCTGTGTACCGAGCAACGCAACACGGATGTTTCGCAAATTTGAAGATGCCAACCAGCAGCGTGTGTCGGGGAAAAAAAACGTTCAACCCCCCCCCCCCCCTCTGCCAACGTGCCATGTAAGCGCAAACAATTTTCTACGAAGCAAGGCGTTCATGATTTTTTAGCAGGGAACAGAGACCAGGGACCCCCCCCCCCGGGTGCAGCCGTTCGCGTCGGAAAACGTGTAAATCTACATAGGAGAGAAAACTCTTTCCGGCACGGCTTGCCGAAGAAAAAAACATTCGGTTGGCGCGTATTGTACGTACCTTCTCCTCCACGTCCGCCTCCTTGAACAGAGCCGACAGCAGCTCGCTCAGGTTTCCGTCCCTGGCCGAGTACCGCTTCAGCCCCGCAGAGGGCCGCGTCTGCGGACCACCACCGGATTCGCCGCCGCCGCCGCCGCCGTCATCCTCCGCGACGCCCTCCGCTCGCTGAGCGTCCGCAGCAGTATCACCACCACCACCGCCACCACCGCCACCACTGCCACCACCACCACCACCAGGATTTGCCGCCATTGTCGGGGACGGGGGCACGGCGGCAGCGGCACTGGAGGAAGCGCTCCCGGGCAGAGGCAACGATCGCTTGGGCGCCGCCGCCGCCGCCCGCGGCGCGAACAAGGACGGGCGATCGCCGGGTGTCATGCCGCCGCCACCGGAAGAAGTCGCTTGCGCGTGTTCGCAGATGGCGTTGGCCTCCTCTAGGGACAGCAGCCGTTGGCAGATCTAGGTTTTCACGTAGTTCAGCAGTGGCGGGTGGCAGAGGCGTTGATTTATTTTGCTATTAGTCCCTCGGTACGGCGTGTTGGTTGTTGGTTGTCGTGAAGAGTTGTTTTGTTCCAAGATTGAGAAGGAAGCAAAGTGGAGAGATCCAAAACAAAGAGCGTGTAAAAAATTGGTACCAGGTACCATTTTGGCCGGATGCAGGTAGTGGAAATAATCACGTCCAATGGCCATTGGCAGGGGCGATGCCTCATGCTCAGACGACTGCCTCGATTCTGGAAATTTCTTGTGTCCGAACAAAGCAGTTCACGAGCTCGGCGAAATTTTGAGCCAGGAACGGCTTGATTTTTTTTTTCTCGGGGGCACACCGGATGGTACACCGAAACTGTTTCCCACCCACAACGATCCGATCAGCATGGAGTTCTTCGCAAAAAAAGGTCAACTTGTCTTGCGGGTACTCTGAGTACCAACCTCCTCCCTGTCGTGGATGATTCTGACGTCCAACTGGTCGTCAAAGGGGTCCTGAACCATGATCCGGATGAAGCAAATCCATGTTTCCCCCGGATGACTAGACACCTTCGGAGGAAGCCAAGGGGGCGGGAGGAACACGTCATTTCGACCATCAGTCACCAACGAACCTCGGGACAAATGGTTGAGCTTACTCAGCCTGTAGACAACAAACCACCAACCTTTTAGCGCCCTATCCTAATTGGCCAAGAAAGCACCGTCTACCTTGCTTAATCGTCATGGCTGCAAGCTGACCGAGCTGTCCACTTCTTCTCCCGACGTACCTCTAACGGCTTGGTAGCCTGAATGAGCACTCGAACGCCCTGCGTCTCGTCGAGAAACGCCAGAGGGTTGTAAATCTTGTCCAGCTCGGTATCGTCTGCCGACTTCCCGCTGCTTGCCAAAGAACCCGAACTCTTATCGCCACGGCTTCCTCCGCCCCCTCGACCCCTCTGGTTGCCATAGCGCCCCCGCCTTACTCCGCCGGAAGAATCTTCGACGGAGCTCCCAAGGCTCTCACTGTGGTGAAAGAGAGCATCTAAGCTGGCATCTGTCCCTCGCATGCCACCGGTACTGCTGCCGCCGACACCGGCGGTGTCCTTGCCACCGCGCTGTCGAAAAGACTTGCGGTGGTGGCGAGACCCTACCCTGCTCCCGACGCCTCCGTCCGTGAACGGTCTGGGCCTGGAGCCATCGTCGTCGTGGTTTCCGGAACCTGCGGTGCTGTTTCGCGAAGAAGGGCGGGACCCGCTCCCGCCGGCCGCACTCCCGTCCTCCCCGCCGCCGCCGCCGCCGCCGCCGCTGCGCGCTGACATCTTCGCGGCCTGGAGGCACTGCTCCAGGTTAGGCGAGCCCAGGATGCTACCACCGCCGTAGATGTCTTCGACATCCAAGAGAGAGGGGAGGCGAGGGGCGCTCTTGGTCCCACGATCACCGAGTCCACCCCCGTCACCCCTGTGGACAGAGCGGCTGTGTTTACCCCGCGTCGGGGAGTAGGACGTGCCTCTGGCAACGGGCGGTGGTGCACTTGTAGCGTTGGCGTACTCCTTGCTTCCGCCTGACACGCGGGGGTTTCTCTGGCTGTGGCGGTTGCGACGGCGGTGCCGATGCCGGCCTTCCTCATCGCGGGAGTCGCCGCCTCTCCAGTGGCGACTTGCCGTCGCTGCAGCCAGAAGGTGCCCGGCGGTGTAGTCCGTCTTTCTAAGGCGAAGGATCCGCTTGTGGCAAACTCTGTGCTGATGCATCTTTTCCTTCGAGTAGAGGGACTTGGACCTTGTTATGCGCTGCAGAGTTTTGAGTGCGGGAGGGTGCACGGGGTACTCGTGTGGAAACGTTGACAGATCTGTCCCATTCGCCGATGGACATGGTTGAACACGAAGACTACTTAATGAGCCACCAGAATCTAGGGGCGGTACATGGTTGGGAACACTCTGGGGGTGAACGCGGAGGCATAAGAGTCCGGAGAAAGAGCGCAGCACGCTGCCGATATCCGGCACGGCTGGTTTTCTACATGAGAGAATTCCTGATTGATTTTGAGTTGTGGGATAAGCTTTGAAAAACTTCATACCCAAGGCAAACGAGATGGCCAGGTAGTCTATGCGCCCACACATGTGGAGCCACTCACTTCCATCATCTTCTGGTTCTCTCGTGCAACCAAGGCCGCCTTAACGTTCCGCCTTCTCGCAAGCAATGAGTTGAGCTTTTTCCCGGACGAGGAGGATTCGCCGGCATTGGTAGCCGACGCCGAGGGCAGGTCCTTGCTTTTCTTCCAGCTCACGGGCGCGGAAGAGCTTCCCAGTCTTTCTCCATCGCTGCTTGCAGGCACCACCATACTTCCTCCCTCAGCAGCAGGGTTGGTTGCCCCCACGGCAGCAACAGTACTGCTACGGGAGTGGATTTCTTCGAGGGCTCTGAGGATCTTGCGGTTCTGAAGGACAACTAGTTCGTGATGCCGACGCGCGTGGAAGTTCTTTGACAGTCGCTTGTCCATGAACTCCATGCGCAGCGGAGTGCTTAAGGACAGGGATGCCTTGACAGACGCCAATCGGTTCTCGTGAATGGCCTGCTTCCTCTCGACATTGTTCTGTTTGTTGCACAACGAGAACGAAGGGCTGATGAAAAAAAAAAAACATAAGAGCAAATACACTGAGTAGAAGATCCGCGGAATGCGACATTCGCCCCGCGTGTTTATATCCCCTTTTGATATCATCACCGGCAACCTGCCCGCCCTACGGTCTTCTTGTCTGTGGTCGAAAGGCTGAAGCTAAGTCCACGACGACACAGGAATAGACTCGACGGCCGGCTCAACGGAAACCAGAACCGAGTACTATTGCCGGATGGTACCCCAACGTCCTCTACGTCGTAGTTTTTTTAAGAGAAAGCTGCACTGGAATAGGGTTATCAGCTGGTCAAGTGCCAACGAAAAAGGGTTGTAGGCATAGCTTTCATTAGGACGAATCCCTACCACATGCTAAGTCATCAACACTTCATGTGCGTCTTTTATTATTGCTATTTCTACACTTTCATCATAGTTACATACGCCGGTATGTACAGTGAGTACAACTGTAGTAATAGTGAGTTCATTGCGGCAAGATCGAACAACATAGTCAAATAATGCTCACGAACCTTGTGACACAGCGTGTTGCCAGACAGAGGCTCCTTGTTGATGACTCCTCTCCGATTGTGGGTCGCCGCGACGGTAAAGCCAATATTCGGAGCTGTACTCCCAGGACCGGCATGAGGTGGCCCCAAGCTAGACAGACTTGCAGCCATTGAATGAAGGTATGAACACGCCTGGTGCCGGCGAGACTTGGATAAAAAAAAAAAGGAGGAGCGGGACGCCGTTTCGTTCTTGTTTTACTCGGCGTGCGGCTCCGCTCTTCCCTTCCCCCGTCGGTTCCGACACCACCCACGTTCAAAGCTACCTGTTCATACCGCTCTGACGCTGCGCTCGCTGCGCTCGCTGCACGTTGGGTGTGTTCACCGCGATCCAGCACATGTGCATTATGCGGCGAAACTATGGTCGTGTCAGCCGTCAGCCCAGATGGACACGAACCGTTTCACTTCAATCCGAACCGCACGCTAACCCGCCGCTTCTTTTCGTGCCCACGTGCGTAGATACCTCTCGGTAGAGAGGGATCTTTCACAACGGGCTGCTGAACTGCAGTGATTACTATATATGACAAGTCTTGCAGATCCTGATTCATTCGTCTTCCCAACTAGAGAGGGATTTGCAGGTACAGCAGCATATATACGTACAGGTCTTGACATCGGCAGACGAGTTTCATGTCGTCGCTGGTCGAGGCTCTTTCGCAGCTCCGAGAGGACCTTCCATTGGCCCGTCGCTCGGCCCCAAAGGTAGGGTATACACAAAACATCAGTAGCAATTTGCGTATCATATGCCAGCGTAAATTCGTGGAAGGTTTGCGATCTTGGGTTGCCGCACAAACAAACCGACACGAGAACTACTGTTGGGGGTTCGCAGCGACAGAAAGCTTCGTCGAAGAACGGCTACTGCACCGTATGGATCTACGGTAGCCACTTTTTTCATGTTCCGTTGCTCATAGACCACGCTAGCCCACCCACTACATGCGTTGCCCTGCCACCGCCATGCACGATGACAACAGCGTGTTCTGCTTGAGCACTGCCTTCAACGCGAGCACGCCCTTCTGCAGCGGTCTTCGGCACTAGAAGGAGCAAATACGCTGGATTTCCCGCGGCCCTGGCATGGGGCAACGCACACAGCACGTGGCGGCAGTACAACCACCGACGCGATCGTTTCACAGCGTGCCAAAGTGGTGGAAGACATGTTTCGCAAGGCTAGACTTAGGCACTGCTTCCAGCATATGATGAAAAAGCAACAAGGCGGGGACAACCACCTCGAATCACGGGGGGGGTTGTCGGATGTATCGCCACAATCCGGGGATAGTCTTCTTGTCCGACCATCCCACATCGAAGCAGAAGGTGTCAGCGCCCTCGACGAAGAAGCGAGCAAACACCTCGACGTAGAGCGCGAGATCCCCTCCGAACGTGCAAGATCGCCTCACCCCGAGGTGCTCCACCCTAGGGACCCAGACGACGGCCTTGAGCCAATCCCGCCAGAAGGGCCCATGGCGGCCGAAGAGCAACCGTTCGTCAACCGTCAAGCCCCAGCATCGCGAGATGAGAACGATGAAGCTGCCGAGCGGGCAGAGCGCCGTATTCTCCTGCGGCGTTTTTTCCATGCTGCGCGGCGAGATGAGCAGTTGGATCTCGGGGGCTTCGGCAACTCTTCGGGTCCCCGAGGCGCTCCGAGTTTTACCGTCGGGGGGAGTGGAATGAGGCCCAGCAGAGGCCCAATGCGAAGGGAGCACCAGGGATACGACGGTGACTTTGTTGGCCCAGGGGGAGTCGGTCTTCGTCGGGCAGAGCTACTACGACGCATCCTCCATGCCATGAGGTATGCATTACGGTGTAGAGTTGCGCTTTGAGCAAGAACTATGAACTTGGCGTCAGTCAGTATGGCTGCTTCTGGTGGTTCCATTGCGATCTACTGTAGCTGTGCTCCTGAGACCCATGCACTTTCGAAAGGAAACCAACTTGCAACGTCGTTATAAAAAACGAGGGTATTACGTTCCTCTTGGAAGATCTATTCCTTGGACATATTGCTGTGGTTGTCCCTCCTGGGAGGCAGCAAGATGCACACATGGTACTTCGTGGTTGGGTTTTGGTTGAAGAGGTACTCCGTCGATCTCCTCACCTGCAATCAGAGCGGAGTACCTATAGATGACTTCTGATGGTATGTAGGTAAACAAAGCGTTCACGGGAAATTCCGATGTAGCCAGTGCCTTGAGGTCATGTTCTATGCCCCCAGTGCGTTGAGTTACCCCCCCCCTCCCCCCCGGCCTCCTTTCATTTAACCATCACACCACAGAGAGTCCGTGACGGAGCAGGCACTACAAGCTGACCCGTCAAGAGCTCCCCCCCCTCCTGCATCCTCAGAACACCTTCCACGGCCACCTTCTTTGCCGGACTCCCAGCAGCTACGGCCGCAAGACGAGTCGTCACCCACGGATCAATCGGGGCTATCCCCATCATCGACTCCAGGACAACTTTCGACTGACGGACCGGGTGCGAGAAGGGAGCTACTGCCTGTTCACCCACGGCAAACTGCGCGAACCGCAATCGCCTACCAAGCGGTTTTCCAGGCGCTGACTAGGCTACTACCAACAGCAACGTCGTCGGGCGCAGAGCAGGAACAGAGCCGTGGCGGTGCGGGAAGCATGCAGGTGGCGGCCGTTCGTTGCGGGATCCAGTGCCAGGGATATATACGTGCCCTACAGCGGGGGATTCAGGCGCGTGCTCGTCTCAAAAGGCTTTTTTGGCGAAATCCTTGGTGCAATTGCTCCGCGTTGTTTCGATATCCGGGCGTGCATCGCACAATTATACGATGGCGCTCTCCTTTCCCCCCTCAGAAGCAGTGCTCCTTTGTTCCTCCCAACAAAACTAAACTTCGATGGAGACCACACCACGCCCTTGCTGCGTGGGACGACCGCCGCTCGAAAACCACCAACTAGCGACACGCACACGACGCGTGCATGAACACGCTCTCTCTCTCCCCCCCCCCCCCCCCCCCGGGTAAAACAACAGGGGAAACTGGGCGTGAAAACCAACAAATCCGCTGGCCCCCCCTCTTTCAGGGCGCGAAAAAAAACGCCCCCCAAGGGCGCACCGGGGCAACCCCCCCCCCCCCCGAACTTGGGGCCCCCCCCCAAGGGGCGGGGGGGGGGGGGGGGGGCACCCCCGGCGGGGGGGCAAAAAAAAAAAAAACCCCCCTCACCAGAAAGGACCCCGCCCGGCGCCCCCGAAAGGCCTCCAACTTTGGGCCCCCCCTTTCCCCGGGGCCCCC